TTACAGTGTGTGTGTGTGTGAGAGAGTGAGAGTGTGTGTGTATGTGTGTGTGTGTGAGAGAGAGTGTGTGTAAGTGGGAGAAAGAGTGGCTGAGACAGAGCAAGAAAATCGAGACACCACTGACCATCCTAACTGCCAAGTGAGCCTCTAAGCAGCAGTCAAAGAGGCACAGACAGTCCCTGTGCAGAAGGGAAACTGTACCGTATTACATCCCTTATGAAGAGAAGAGAAGAGGATAGAAGGTGACAGTAGGAGAGGAAGAGAGGGACTGTTTGGTTGATTTCATCTTTTGGTTACTCAGCCGTTTTGTCGGGCACAGCTGTTTTTCCGGCGCGTTGCCCCTGCTCGCCAGTTCCCCTCCTCCGGTCTCCTGTCGGTGTGCCGTGCGCCGCAGCCACGGCGACAGCGACCACCGCGCTCCGGAGCGCACAACGCAGCGACTGTTAACTGCTCAGTGGGCCGTGAGTGATCAGAGCTGATTAAATCACACAGGGATAGGAGCCCGCACACAGACACAGAATACACTCCCGGGGATGTGATACTAAAACGCCGAAGGACTGTCATTTGCGTGGGGGGAAAAAAGGAGGCGGACGAACGCGCGCTCACAGGGCTCCAAACCGAAAATATAGCCAGCCTTTCTTTATCTTATGTTTCTTGTTCTTCTTCGTTTTTGTCTTATGGGAGTAAGTGGGTGGTGGTGGTGGTGTTACCCGACCTGAATTCAGAATATTTTAGCCCTGATTTGGTGTTCTTGAGCAAGACAGCGGATCGCCATCTGCGCACACTGCAACACGCTCTGTATAAAATATTCTTTTAATTCTAGCTTCAGTTGAGCTTATGAATCCGGTTACATTGTGTTTTGTGGGGTTTTTAATAAGTCACGCAAGCACAAGTCATGTTCATATAAAAGCCCTTTAAATGGTTCTGTAATTAAGTTAGTGCTTTCATCTCTAAACCGGATTCCAGGAGCGCAGAGGAGGTCATGCTCAACCAGCCATCTCCCTCAAATTCAAAAAAACAAGTTTGAAATTGCATTTTGTGTATAGCGAACACACTGCCGTGCGTCTCTCGTGCCCCTCCGAGACCTCAAACAGGCACACGGGCCGGAATAATAATTACTTATTATTACACACACACGCACGGATACAGGAGGTGTCAAGGTGAATCGCATATGGACTAATCGATTGTCATTTGGCTTTAAAAAAAAAAAAAGAAACAAAAGAAACTTCATTTAAATTTCCAGAGCGGTGTTAAAATGTTGGCAGGCATAAGCTTCTGTCTGTGATCACCATATGGCGAACACAAGTCTCTTATCATCTCATGGTTTTATGCAACTTGCTCCAGTTTTACACTTTTTTAGTGATGAATACTGTCACGTTGATTTGTGTGAGGATGGAGAGGTGGGGAAGCTGGGTTCTGAGTTGGGTTTCCCTTCATCTACATCCCGGTTCATCCCTGAACACCACTCCTCTCCAAAGCGCACATTAAGGCAACCCCAAAGAAAAACATACCAACGATTATATCATACAATCGTTAACCCAGAGTGCCTTTGTGATTACAAAAAGTTACAATTTCTTAGGCAAAGAGAGGAGGGCAAAACAAAAAAGGAGAAACAAAGTAAAAATGAACTAAGAGTGGGTGTGACGATTCCGATTTCCAGCCACAAAACAATAACATTGCAAACGCTTATGGCTGAAACGCGTCAGCGATCATATTCTAATATAATGTCCAGCTCCACAGGCAGCGTTTTCTTTGATGGGGTGCCACTTTCTTCTACTTTTGAATACAACGACAATGTTTCAAACTGGCAACAACTTTTCGCCTACATTTGTATCTCTTACCTTTCCACAGGAAAACAAGAAGCATCGTCTTCCAGAGGCAACAACCCACCGGCGCGCCTCCCTCTCTCCAGACCGTCTCCATCCCTCCTGTCGGTAAAGAAAAAAAACCTCCGGAACTGTTCACAAAACGGACAAAGGGGGGGAATTTAATATTTTATAGCGTTCCCTTTGCCCAGACAGATAACTAACGCATCGGTGCCATCAATAATCTCGATTTGACCGAACTGCGCTCCCACTGTGCTTGACCTAAGACACCGTGCAGATGAGGTTTGGAGTAAACTATAAATCCGTCAGGAGTCAGTAATAAAAAAGGAAAAAAAAAAAGAAAAAAAAGAAACCCCCGATGGGC